TGATAGTCCAGCTACAAGGCTAAGTCCAACTTCGGGGACTGATAGTCCAGCTACAGGGCTAAGTCCAACTTCGGGGACTGATAGTCCAGCTACAAGGCTACATCCAACTTCGGGGACTGATAGTCCAGCTACAAGGCTACGACCAACCTCGGGGACTGATAGTCCAGCTACAAGGCTAAGTCCAACTTCGGGGACTGATAGTCCACCTACAAGGCTACGACCAACTTCGGGGATTGATAGTCAAGCTACAAGGCTACATCCAACTTCGGGGACTGATGGTCCAGCTACAAGGCTACGACCAACGTCGGGGACTGATAGTCCAGCTACAAGACTACGACCAACTTCGGGGACTGATAGTCCAGCTACAAAGCTACGACCAACTTCGGGGACTGATAGTCCAGGTCCAGCTACAAGACTATGGCCAACCTCGGGGATTGATAGTCCAGCTACAAGACTACTTGTTTGTAGATGTTGACAGTTATTGAAAATAAACGTTTTACTAAATCAACCTGGAAAGTCCCTCCGAAAAACTGTGCGGACAGGTATTAGAGGATGGATATAAATACATAATGAACGGAATAAAATGGTACAGATACTTTCGGCGTGGTAATGTGTCTATACCCATATTATATTATATTATATCGGATTTGTTTTGAAATATAACCACAACTTATGATTCTTTTTTATTTATGATTCTTTTTTATTAAATAAACAAGTCTATCTTATATGCCTGTGATTTAAGTATAAGTTGTTCTTGCGTCGCCCTAGATAGTGTTGTTCATATATTTAATCATAGGGTGAGAGTGAATGTATTTAGTAATCATTTAAAAATCAAATGTTCACTACATAGCTTGTATTTGTCTGATCCAAGCATGGTGAAAATGTAGAGGAAATTTTAAAACTTAAAAAAATATCCAATTGAAAAATGAACTTTGGTATGGCATTTTCAAATAAAAGGATCATTTAGAACAATTTCAGCCTCTAATGAATATCTTACTTTTGACTTTCCTAAAGGTATATATTGCGCTGAAGAAAAACTGCCGTCACTGTCGTGTGCGGTCACCTGTTCTGTAAGCACAGCACTTATAAACGCTAAGCACAATTTTTGTACGGTACATCTACAAGTCCCGGATGTAAACAAAGAATGAAAATGGCATATTCCAACAATGTTTTAGCTTTTAGTACATGAAAGTACATTCTATACCATATTATATTGTAGATTTGGAGTTAACGCCCTTTGTGGTCATTCCTATCGTCCTGGTCCTACTTTTCCTGGCGGCAGGGCTTCTGTTGTTCTGGATGTGGAAAAATAGGGTCACAATCATCATGAAAATAGTCCATTATTTTCAAGCGTATGAAGACGATGGTTTGTATCTACAAAACATCTACACCGTATCTAACTTTGATTTCATGTTAAAAAAAAAATGTAGAAAATAGAAAAGGACAAATCGGCAAATAACGGTTAGGTGTCGCATGAACATCCACCTAATTGGTTTTAGCTAATCGACACGAACTCGCGTCACCTAAAAATAAAAGCGTTTTACCATGTATCGGTATTGTAAAAAAATGTATTGTTAAAGTTGTTCTGACTGATTCCGCAACAGAAAATCGCAATTTCGTTTACATACAAAGTATATATTTAAAAAGAAAAGATTATAAAGAAACATGTTCTTGCGAGGGAAATTATAACAAAAGGTTTACAAGACTGACTGCTGGGGAGTTCTGCCTTCTTTTTTTATAATTATTTCATTTTAGGATTTTTTTTTTACATTCCAGATGAGAAGATATGGGATGTATTTATTTCCTATAAATCTGCAGACATCGACCAAACCTTTGTCCTGCGCGTGCTGTTACCAAAACTTGAAGAGCTTGGCTTCACTGTTTGTCTACACTTCCGGGAATTCTTACCGGGGGAATGTAAGTATACGTGTAGTGGAGGTTTTTATTGTACCTAACACAGGAACCTAAGGTGTTCAGGGTAATGTTTTAGGGGTGTAGATCAACTTTCCGGCGGTAAAAATGCCACCCCAATGATGATATATAAGCATACGATGGAGTGGCATTTTTACCGAAAGTTGACCTAAACCCCTAAAACGTGTAAAAATTACTCTGGACACCTTAGTTTAGAGACAACTATAGCTGTAATAAATTCAAAGGTGCAAGTGATATACGTACCTAGCGGAAGAAAATGAGAATAGTCGAGTTTTGTTCCTTCCTACCGGGAGAGGTGAGTATAATCGAGCCTGTTTAGTTCGCACCGGAACAAAAGCTTAATAAAGTCGAGCTCCGTTAGACCTAGTTCATTTCAGGAACTTTTTCCCGGGAGACACTCGAGGATCTTTAGTTCATTCAGTTAAATTCTCAGCTACGATCTATTCCCTGTACCACTGACTGCATTATCAGAATATCGAACAGAATCTACCAGCCTGGGTAAGACGTACATTGTACATTGGCCCAATAAACACATTTCTTATTTTTGTTTTGTTTTCTATCAAACTATTATTTTTATTAACTTGAGACTACATGTGCACTCAGACCCTTAAAACTACCAGCAAAGCAATACCAGCTCTGTAATCACCATTGTTAGCCTTTGTGTTTCGGAGTTTAACAGTTAAATATGACACAAGGGAATGAAGTAAATGGAATCTTTCTGAAATTTTCAGCAATTGCAAACAACATCATCAACGCTATTAACAACAGCAGAAGAACCATCCTGATCTTAACACCTCGCTACGTCAGCAGTGAGTTCACTAGATTGGAATACCAGGTGGCCCAGCACGAAATGCTGAAGAGGAAACATAAAATCATCCCTGTGCTACTTGAGGATATTTCAATGGTAAACGACACTATGGATCCCAACTTAAAGCTTATTCTTCGATGTGTCACGTATCTGGAATACCCTGGTCCTGATGCTGGTGAAAATAACACGAAGCGCTTTTGGGAGAAACTTTCATTAGCTATGCCAAAGAAAAGGCAAACTGAAGAAAAACAAAAACAACAAATAGATGAAATAACGGATGAACTATACATTGAGGGACCGGTAAACGGTGCAACAACGAAAAATGAGAAAACACACACGGTAGATACACACGTTTGACAAATGGACAGTATCACAAACAACGGTAAAGCTACTTCGCTCAAGGGTACAGCTTCATCGCTCAGCAGTACAGCTCAATCACTCAGCGATACATCTAAATTGTTCAGCGAAACAACTACATCTTCCAGTAGTACAGCTGCTAAGCGGTAAATCTGTATCGCACATCGGTACATAATCCAACGGTACAGCTATATCGCACAGCGATACAACTACCTAACACAGCGGAACAACTACATCGAACACCGGTAAAGCTTCGTCACACAGCGGTATAGCTACGTCACACAGCGGTACAGCTACATCACACAGCGGTACAGTTACACCACACAGCGGTACAGTTACATCATACAGCTATATAACTACACCATACTGCGATACAGCTACGTCACATAGAGGTACAGCTACATTACACAGCGGTACAGCTACGTCACACAGCGGTACAGTTACATCACACAGCGGTACAGTTACACCACACAGCGGTACAGTTACATCACACAGCTATATAACTACACCATACTGCGATACAGCTACGTCACATAGAGGTACAGCTACATTACACAGCGGTACAGCTACGTCACACAGCGGTACAACTAAATTACACAGCGATACAGCTATGTCACACAGCGATACAGCTACATTACACAGCGGTACAGCTACACCACATAGCGGTACAGCTACGTAACACAGCGGTACAGTTACATCATACAGCTATATAACTACACCATACTGCGATATAGCTACATCACACAGCGGTACAGCTACATCACACAGCGGTACAGTTACACCACACAGCGGTACAGTTACATCATACAGCTATATAACTACACCATACTGCGATATAGCTACATCACACAGCGGTACAGCTACACCACATAGCGGTACAGCTACGTCACACATCGGTACAGTTACATCACACCGCGGTACAGCTACGTCACACAGCGGTACAGGTACGTCACACAGCGGTACAGTTACATCATACAGCTATATAACTACACCACACTGCGATATACCTACGTCACACAGCGTGCGGTACAACTAAATTACACAGCGATACAGCTATGTCACACAGCGATACAGCTACATTACACAGCGGTACAGCTACACCACATAGCGGTACAGCTACGTAACACAGCGGTACAGTTACATCATACAGCGATATAACTACACCACACTGCGATACAGCTATATACGTCACACAGAGGTACAGCTACATTACACAGCGGTACAGCTACGTCACATATCGGTACCGTTCCATCACAACGCGGTACAACTACGTCACATAGCGGTACAGCTACACTACACAGCGGTACAGTTACATCAAACAGCTATAATTACACCACACTGCGATACAGCTATACGTCATTGAGCGCGCGTTACAACTAAATTCAGCGATACAGCTACATTACACAGCGGTACAGCTACATCATACAGCGACACAGCTACGTCACACAACGGTACAGCTACGCCACATAGCGGTACAGCTACGCCACATAGCGGATCAGCTACATCGTCGAGTGGTTTAGCTTCATCGCTCAGAGATACAGCTACACATCACTCAGCAGTACAAGTTAAGATATCGTATAGCCCAATTGTATTTAGAAACTGGGTGGTATGAGAGATTGTCAGTTGAAGAGAGATAATGTTTAATACTTTTCAGTGTCGATTGTGAAATTCCTGTTTTACTCGAATTTCTGCTGTACACTGATTTGTGTGTGGAATGGATAGAACATTCTACTAGGTGTGTTAATAGTTTCAGGCAAAAACAAAATAATGTGTGTTTCAGGTAGCATGACTTTAAAAAGATTGATGAAGGTTGGTATTTTGCTTTGTTTTTTGTTTGTTTGTTTGTT